GAGTTCCTTAGTATTTTTGTTTTTATTTTTAAGAAGACAGTGTTCCATACAGAAGTAGAGCTTTATTATAATAATCCCATAGCTAAAAAAAAAAGTCTTAAAAACCCTTTCTGTAGTCGTCAAAAAACAAAAAAAAAAGAAAAACAAATTGAAATTCAGTGCAATACGATTTGTATATAAAACACCCACTTGAATAAACAAATAAATAAATAGATAATCAGATTGACAATAATAAAAGACAATTCTCCCGACACATAAGGACGTGTAGGCGCGCCATAAAAACATCCCTCACTGGGAACTAACTAAAGGGTGACCGCAAACATTAGCCTTGAAATAGATACCCTACCCAACCTTAGCAAAACCTCTTAGAAGATGATGAATCTATTGATAAGAATTAACTCTCTGACCACTTAACTAAGAAAAATAGTCTAGCCACTCCCAAAATAACGAATTTTGTAACGGACCATGCCTAAAAACACACGTAAACCGAGAGATTTCGCTTGAAGATGAAACGGGACTAAACACCTCAATTCAACTTAATTTTAATAATTATTTGGATGGTTTCGACTCTCGTTTTTGAAACATGAGAATTCTTATGTAGCGAAGGAATCATATTTTGAAACAAAAAAATATTATTATATATATATATATATATATATATATATATGTATATATATATGTTTGTGTGTGTGTGTGCGTGTGTGTGTGTGTGAAGCGTTAATTAAATATTATGTCAACGTGAACACTGTGTCAAAATGTTGATTTACTGGAATTCTATTTTAGCGCGATCTCGCCTTTTCGCGAGGTCATCTTTTATCTCAAAGATCGCGTTATAAGGGGCTGATACTATACTGCTATCTAAGCATGTTCTGAGTTGTTTATGAATTGAAAGTGCAAGGGTGTCAAGTCTGTAATGGCAGACATCACAATCGTCCTGATCTTATCTCTGTGGCTTAAAACTGTAACACTAAAATACAAACACACGCGCCTGCGCGCGCGCTTTTTTCGATGGCAGTGATTAACTTAACTAGGTCGCCCGTCGAGACGCCGCATAGCATCCACTCGCTTCTTCCTGGTATTGTCTTACGTGTGTTATCGTAAAGATTTCGATTGCGCATATATCAACAGACACAAAGCGCTATTCTGTATGTTCCCACAGTTTCCATTTGACTTGGAATAATTAGGTATCACCCATAGTCCGGTGTGAAGGACGTTGAAACACCGGTTCTCGAAGGATCAGCGATGTCGAGTCTGGTCAGTAACTAGATTGGTGACCGTATGGGAATACCAGATGCCGTAATCTTGGATATGCGGGGGCTCTAATGGATATCAGAGAGCCTAGTTCGAATTCCGACTTAGTTCCAATTCCGGTTGGGATCGTTATATTCACGTACCCGGAAATACCCTTGAGGAAGGTTGCTTTTTTTTCTAAACAATTTTTAGCCTTTTATCATCTAAACGTCCATTTTGTTGTGCTATACATTCCATCGACAAAACTCGTTCAAATATTTTTTCTTGCGCCATACATTCCATCGACAAAACTCGTTCAAATATTTTTTCTTGCGGCATACATATCATCGACAAAACTCGTTCAAATATTTTTTCTTGCGCCATACATTCCATCGACAAAACTCGTTCAAATATTTTTTCTTGCGCCATACATTCCATCGACAAAACTCGTTCAAATATTTTTTCTTGCGCCATACATTCCATCGACAAAACTCGTTCAATTATTTTTTCTTGCGCCATACATTCCATCGACAAAAACTCGTTCAAATATTTTTCTTGCGCCATACATTCCATCGACAAAACTCGTTCAAATATTTTTCTTGCGCCATACATTTCATTGACAAAACTCGTTCAAATATTTTTTCTGTGCCATACATTCCATCGACAAAACTCGTTCAAATATTTTTTCTTGCGCCATACATTCCATCGACAAAACTCGTTCAAATATTTTTCTTGCGCCATACATTCCATCGACAAAACTCGTTCAAATATTTTTCTTGCGCCATACATCCCATCGACAAAACTCGTTCAAATATTTTTTCTTGCGCCATACATTCCATCGACAAAACTCGTTCAAATATTTTTTCTTGCGCCATACATCCCATCGACAAAACTCGTTCAAATATTTTTTCTTGCGCCATACATCCCATCGACAAAACTCGTTCAAATATTTTTTCTTGCGCCATACATCCCATCGACAAAACTCGTTCAAATATTTTTTCTTGCCCCATACATTCCATCGACAAAACTCGTTCAAATATTTTTTCTTGCGCCATTCATCCCATCGACAAAACTCGTTCAAATATTTTTTCTTGCGCCATACATTCCATCGACAAAACTCGTTCAAATATTTTTTCTTGCGCCATACATTCCATCGACAAAACTCGTTCAAATATTTTTTCTTGCGCCATACATCCCATCGACAAAACTCGTTCAAATAGGTTTTGTTGTCCTATACATTACATCCACACAACTCGTTCAATTAGTTTAATCTCTGTTTCTTTCTTCTTTTGTATATCCTGTCTGTGTTAAATTCTCTTTGCCTTCTTTTCTTATTATATTCAACTGTCAAATTTCAACCATTTCTCCTAAGACTTCCTCGCACCTCACATGACAGATCCATGGGATTCTCACCGTCCGTTAGTGGAACCTCTTCTCTATTTCTTCATGTTTCATCTTCTTCTGTAAGGAGCTTTACGGATATAGCACGTTGAAACGTACGATCACCAAAGTTAAGCAACGTCGAGCCTGGTCAGTACGTTGATGGGTAACAGCTTCGGAATACCAGGTGCTGTAAGGTTGGATGTGAGGGTGTTGTAATCGGTAACGTTTCCGAATTGAAAATCGAAGAGTCGAGTTCTAATTCCAGTCGGTTTCGTTACATTCATTTACGCGCAAACACCCTTGGGAAAAGTATGCATCCGCGTCTTCTCCTTCCAGCTATGGGTTAAATAGTAGGATTTGTATCAGCAAATTATTATTATCTCCAAAATATTCTTACAATCTAAAAATATTTTCTGACTTTAAAATAATCTGCGAAAGGTTGATAAGCCGTAAAAAATATAAGATTTCGGAAAGGCATGAAAGAGAAAGGTATGAAGGATTTTTTCATGGTACTATTGCAGTTCAATGCCAGATCTGGTCTGTTAGATTCTGCCAATGAGCACACACAACATCCTATTGCTGATGTATTCCCGTAACCCTGGTAAGGGTGGATTCTGGGTGCTAGCTCGCCAAAGGGTAACTCGTGATTTGGTCGTTACGTTTTTGAATTCAGAATTGTAGTTCTTCTAGACTGTTTGCGAAACATGGTGCTAGAGAGTCTTCAATTTAAGCCATAAAATCCTTGGAATAGTCATTTTTATACTAAACTCAAGGCTCGAGAGATACTCAAGGTAGAGTGTTACATTTAAAATGGGAATCCTGTGTGATACGAATGAGAGAAAGTGTGATTGGAGGTGAAGATTAAGAAGATGAGAATAGTTAACGATTGACGCTTAACTTGAGGTGGTTAAGATTGTAGTTTTCAAGGAAGCATCCACGTGGGAGTCCGTTCTAAAAAAGCATAGCGCTGTCTGATTGTGAGTTTTTACTTATATATGGGATACTGAGGGAATGAGGTTGATTCGGCTCCGTGGAGAAAGTGTGATGTTACCCCAGCTGTAAAGGTCTGAACTGGTGGGACGAAACTGATGGGCTTACCTTAATTATTTGCTATAAAAAAAAGTCTGATGCTTTCAACGATCGACCAGTTAGTCTTCTACCACTCTTTGGCAAAGTACGAGAGGTTCTAATCAATTCTGAATTGATTAAGCATCTAACCTCGCAGGAGTTTTCTATTAACTAAACAATATGGCATTTGCTTCTCTAGGTCAACTACCGATGCGTTGACGGTTGTTGCTGAAACACACAGTCATGGTTTAGATAAGAATGGCAAAGCTTGCGCCGTTCTTTAGATATTTCGAAGGCCATTGACAGAGTTTTGGTCTTTTGGTATTCTTCAGAAGTTGAAGGATCACGATATTTACGGGCGTTTCTTTGATTTGATACAATCTGTCTTATCAAACAGCGTAATAAAATTTGGCTTGAACGGCCACACGTCCAGATCGTTTTACATCAATGCAGGATTCTCTACGGCTCGCTTCCTGGATTTATTCGATTCCTTTGACATTTGGAAAAACGTTCATGAAAATATGTTTCGAAAAAAAATAATATCCGATAATGCATTTCGCCTCTAATGGCTTCATCAGATGGATAAAAGACGTGTTGTGTGTGTATGCATTTGTGTGTGTTTAAAATATTTAAATCTTATATTATTTTTGTCAAGCTGGTGTTGCTCAAGACTATAAGAAGAGAAATGCATTATCAAATTATTATTTTCGAAACATTTTCATGAACGTTTTTTCAAATGTCAATAACTTATAACTCTGTCGGGATTACTTACCCACATTTATTAGATTCTTTTCCTTATTTTCAACAACGACTTTCTTGATATCACCAGTTCCACACTCGGTATCTAGGTATTTACTCTGCCTTCCCATTAAGACGAGTTGTGACACAAGGTCATTTTTAAGGTGGGGCACCCGAGTGCGTACACCCGGGCAAGGAACAAAAATTGCCCGCAGCCGTCGGTTGCACTGGCCTCGGAGATAGCACCGATCCCTCTCTCTGGTGCAATGAGAGGGCCCGGCCTCGGGCAGCTATTCCCCAGGGCTGGGTACCTCTCAGTATAATTTTCCTCAGTTGCAACTCTGTTCTTTAACGGAGTCGCCCCTGAACACACTCTGCCCAAAGACAGAGACGCAACTGAGCCCACACTAGGTATCTATGTGGATGACACAACTGCTTACTCTTGTCTTAATAGTAAGCTTCGATAAAACCAATTTGGCAGTTGATTTTCAATCTGTTGTGAGCAAGGGCACAATGTGGCTTGTAAATTTTAAATTCTATAAAAAGGAAACTGGTCTCTATTCATTATATTACAAAACCTTTTTTTGCCTTCCATCAACATGTCTGATATTAGCTTCAAGGAGAGCAAATCATTTCACCTTCTTGGTCTCACATTTTCCACTGACATGAATTTGATTCCTACAACTGCTACTAAAAAAGTCGATTCACTATGACGTGCTAGGCAATCTTTCTCGCCAGAATCTGTCATGAATGTTTATAATTATACCATTCATCTATGCATCGGATATTGCTCTTACATCTAGTCTGGTGGGTCTGCAATGTGTCTAGAGATCCTTGACAAAATCCCCCAAAATGTTTGACATCATTATCGGTCCTGTCCGGGCATCTCGGCTTCAGTCGTTTTCTCATCACCGTAACGTAACTTTTGCAAATATTTTCACAATACTTGTTTCGAAGAGTTTTCCTCACTGATGCCTCGACCGCAATTCTTTTTGTATCATACCACCTCAACTTCGTGAATTTAAGCGCAGTACTAGATTGCCAGTTCGGTCTCATAAATTCATTGTTGAAATTGCTAGATGTAACCATAAGTTCTGTGCTAATTGATTCTTTTCTCGAACTTCTCGCTTGTGGAACTCGCTTCCGGCTTCCTACTTTTCTGTCAACTATGATCGTCAAAAATTTAAATGCAATGTCAATCGCCATCTTCTGTCTTTTTGAATCATGTTCTTTTATTTTCCCTTTTGTTTATTTCCCTCTCAGTAAGCTCGCTTGCGTTTTAGTGGCTTTATTGCCTTGATTGAAGTGGTAAGATACAAAAGGAATTGCGGTGCGGCTTTTGTAAGAAACAGGTTGCAGAGTGGAGAATAATCCGCGTCTCCCAAGAACGCGTAAACGATTTCAGTTTCTGTAATAATAGTAACTAGTTTCAATCCGTTTAAATTTTACGGTTTTCTTATTTAAATTTTTCTGATGAATCTTAATTCTTAAGTTAATGATTGAACAAACTCATGGCGAGTTCTACCACAAAAAAATCTCCGTAGATATTCCTCTATCGCATCGTTAAATATTTGAGCTTAACAACTGTAAGAAAGTATTGCAATAACAATTATAAATAAGAATAATGGTCGTTATTTTAAGAAGTAAGGGGATACAAATGAAAAGATTTGAAATTGATAAATTTAACTATTTCACTGAAAGAATCGCTAAGCATCTTCCCTTCTTTTTATCATTCATTCGATATGTCTTTTGTTTTTCTACGCAATAAAAACGGAATAATAGCCCTTTGTTTATGATGTATTGGCAACGCTTCTATCTTTCTTTCTTTCTTTCTTTCTTTCTAGCTAAATCCTCATCTTACGAACATTTCTCTTAACCATGCATAGACGATCATCTATCTTTCGATACATGACTGACGAGGAAGATTTTTTCCCCGCAATAGGTTGCCTTTTTTTATTCTGCGGTAGACCAGTTGCCATCCAAGGCTGTAGAACCCGGTCTGTCATGGGGAGAAGAAGAGGATTCATACCTTTCCCAAGGGTATTAGCACGTAAGAGAATCTAATGGATTCGAACACGGCTCTCCGACTCCTCAATCCGAGCCGCTATCCATTACTCTTAACAATAAAATATTGCAATAACAATCATAAATATGAATAATGCTGGTCGTAATTTTAAGAAGTGGGTACAAATGAAAAGATCTGAAATTTTCAATTTCTTCCATTTCACTGAAACTTTTATCTTTCTTTCTTTCTTTCTTTCATTCATTTTCTCGCTGAAAGTAGTGTCTGTTCACGCGATCAAAACTACATAGTCCTTTATTTGTGAGATATTGGCAGGGCGTAATGGTCGTGCGAACTAAAAAAAAACGGAGGGAAAAGCACAATTATAATAGAATAATAAAAATAGTTTCATAGGATTTATTAATATACTGTTTTGATAACATTTCCATATTTATTTTCATCAAAATAAGAACTGGCCTTCTTTCTCTATATTCGTCGGAGTTACTTTATATATATTTAAAAATAAACAAACCAAAAACAAAACAGCCTTTATAAAGCAAGCGTGTCCAGGCCCATTAACCCTTTGAGTCCTAATGGGATATATTTTATTTGTTATCTGTTATTTTCACTGTTCCATATGGTGAAATAATGGGCCGTACAATGTGAGGCTGGCGCATAACATGTTAGCAGTTTTTTTGTTTTTTTTGACTCGGACTTTTTCTTTATTTAGATCAAATTTGAATTTCAGGTTTACGGTCACATCACGTTGAAGCACCACTAACTGTACGATCACCGAAATTAAGCAACGTCGAGCCTGGTCAGTATCCATTAATAATCCAACCCCGCTAATATTATACACAGTTGTTAATGAACCAATATTTTTTGTGGGACAACAAAGAAGAAGGGTCTCTTTTGACGGAACGGCGTACTCGCCTCCTCTCAAATTGAAGTCCTACATACCAGACAAAGACGAACTCTCTTTCGTCAAGAATAAGGCAAGTCCTGTTCACCATTTCTGCCATTTAACTATGGTTCTGGTTTGCTATGTCTGCCACATACACGATCTGGAGTTTAAATCA